CGCGTTCTCTCCAATTCGCATCTCTTCTCTATTTCTGTTCTTTTATACAATTTGTAAATTCAAGCTAATGAGAACAAGGAGTGAAATTGCTCGGTTGTTATTGCATAATCATGCTTGTATCGAATTTAACACGATAAACAACGCACACCCTCGCACTCTTTCGCGTAAAACGCCTTATACCGCGAGTAATCGCTGTTTTATTGCCGATGTCAATGATATCCATTCGCGATTGTTGTACGATTGCGTGATATCATTTTAATGGAACGATAATTGGGCCCCATGCGTCGCCCCGTTGTGTAATGAGCGGTGGCAATGTACAGTCATTGTTGAGTATGCAACGGAGAATGCAAACATGTTCCCGATATTATTGCACTCTCGCCATGGAAGACGTTGCACCTCAAGTTTAATCAGTTGGTCACCCCGACACAAAGCACTGAAGCGTGGCAATGCTTCGGGCAGTTTAATTAAGCATGTTCCACATCGTCAAAATATAATATATTGTGTGATGTACAGAGTAAGTCAATAGCTATTATCACCTTGAATATCCTCGAAGCTAAAAACAAAGATCTTCAAATTTTTGAAACTATTCCAATTAAAACAAGGCTGTGCCTTTTTTCTAGGAGAAGTAGCTTCGAAAATTTTAAGATTATTTGGTAGTTTGCTTCGAAGATGTTCAAGTTGGCAATAGTTGACAGTTATTGTGTGACTCACTCTCTATATATTTAATACATATTCCTCTCTATATCGTTTTATTAGATTTTCGTATCGTTTTTCCGTAACTTGTTCAAAATTTAAAAATACGAGATAAACGGAAGTGTTTTTTTTCACAATTTGGCTGGAAAGAAAATAGAATGCGAGACAGTCACGAGGATCTTTGTGTGCTCTCTCAATAAGGAACGATTAAATTCCCATTTAAAACATTTCTGTGGAAAGCGACCGTTTTAAAAGACGTTCCGACCGTTACGTCATTGGCTGTCAGCTACTCCATTGCGACGGGTTGTCTTTAATCGTCTTACATTTTTTCACTGAAAGGCTAAGTGGATTACAGAAAATTAAATCTTTTTCACTTATTCCCCTTGATCGCTCACGATTATCTCGTATCGGAAGCGATGCGGATAAAGTCATCGTCGACACGACACAGGAATTGAGTCTCTGCGGTACTAATAGGATCGTCTAAGGGCGTAAACGATAACGGACTCTCTACTGGGTGCAATAAAAGAGAAATATGAGCGTCTGATGGCGCTTATATCACGAGTACTCGACGGAGGTGTTAAGGTTTTCGTAGTGAAAAAAGACTCTGGTCAGATAGAACACCAGAGAGATGCTCAGACTGTCGCGAAACGACATGCAAATGTGTAAATGCATAATAGATTGCAAACCGAAGAGCTCTTCGTGGTTAACCGACGAATCGATGCTACTCTCGCAATTATTGATTAAGAAGTGGAGATGCGCGGAATCACCGGATGACTCGTTTTATTCCTATTAAAGCATATAATCGTAGTGTTTCGAGAAAGCGATTATACCCGTAGTTTGTGTTCACTTCAAATGTTAGGTATTAATTACATCAGCATGATGCGACCACGTAATTTTGAAGTTGGAAAATTGCCGTCGAAGTTTCAGGATGAGAGTTTTAGGATTGTATTTTTGACAGCACTAGTCCTCCTCGTGAACTCACCCTCGTCCTTTGAAATTGTCGGGAAATACTTTGTCGAGAAACTTGTGTAATCCCGAGAATTGTTCAGTTGTTCGAGATATTACGTTCGATTGGATATTACAAGGACTTATGTCAATCTCATCTAATACATGAAGTCTGGATTCAATCAATTTAATGCCGACGCGAGGAAAGAAAGCTCTCGCGTATACAGGGTATTAGTTAAGTATGTTGCCATACTATTGGCATGAAATGGCAGATATGCACTTTACCTACCAAGGCGTATTTATGTAGGAAGATATCCCCAACGCAATTTACCATGTCGTAAAACATTTGCGAATATTCACCGCTATCTTCGAGAAAAGGGTTCTTTTGTAAGGAACACTGTTGATCTTGGAAAGCTTATAAACATGGAAAGCCTAGTTAGAACATCAATACTAGAGGAAGCTGTTCTAAACGAAATAGATTATTACTACACGTTTAAATTTTTTTATTACGGAAACTAAGCCGTTTAGGACACATGTTTATATGAACTTTTTTACTTGAAATAAACCAAAGAATCGCTCTGTTGAGTATGGCAACATACTTAACTATCACCTTATATATAGTATATACATCATAGGCATGTTCTTAATGTCCTCACCCTACAAAACTATATATATCAGGCTTTCTCTGAAAATCTTAAAGTAGGAGTAGTACTCATAGACATTAAGAGCGCTTTTGACAACGTTAATCCATTTAAACTTGTCACCATCCTTAAGAAATTAAAGGTTCCTAAGGAAATTACGAAATTTATTTTATTTTTACTTTTGAGAAGAGAGGTAATCGGGTTCTTCGGCGGTAAATGTCTGAGTATACGCAAAACCTTTATGGGAGTCTCTCAAGGTTCGATGCTCAGTCTCTTGTTATTTATCCTTTACATTTCTAACATTCACTCTGGGCTTGATAAAGATATTGACATTCTTGCTTATGCTGATAATATCGCAATATTTTTCAAACATAAGCACGTGATTGAAATTTCCAAAACTCTGGAACGAAATCTCCATATTTTATCCCAAAATGTTTTATCAACCTACTAATATATTAGCTAAGAACAAAACTAATTTCAAACTCTTCACCGACGTTTAATTTATTGATTTCAAGATATAAGAAATTAATTTTGTACATTTTCCGGAAAGCTATCCAGCTTCATCGTATTAGCGGGATGTCTCCAAGAGAATATTACTTTGAATATGAAGTCATTTCTCTCAAGAGAAAGTAACAACTTCGCACTTTCTTTCATTAAAAAAGTTTTACAACGCTATTCATATTAGACAAGATGAAGTACCTGTTATTCATCCAGTAATATATGATCGGATTGACCATGGAGTTGGACATGGCGAGCCAGTAGAAGCTTAAGTATATATGTTGAACGTAACTGCTCTCCGCAATTTGACGATAATGGTACACGAAAATGAAGAATCCCTGATACGGTAACCAGCACAGCGCGAATATTGTTACCACGATGCTGAACATCTTCACGACCTGTAAAAAGTGAGGAAAACATCTCAGAAATCTGTGCGTATCATATTAAGGACTTGGCAAAATTCGTCGGCTCGCGTGTGGGTTTATTAGCATTAATGACGAGCTATTTCGTATAAACGCGGAATCAGACACTTATTAATTCACGGCCGACTGCACGTATGCTATCTTGACATTTACGTATGAACAGTAATTAAACCGAGGATAACGATCGTCGAGTATCCCGCAGTGATATTTAAAGCGTTCGCTTTGCCTTTATCATTGTATAATAACGATATTTACGAGGACCACTTATAGTTGCAATTATTCGTACCTAGTCTTGAAACTAATATGTAACTATACGCATTGTAACGTGCACAATACCTAAGTAAAGGTATTAAGGGATCTTAATAGGGCCTATTATTCTGAACTTTCCGCTTATAGACGACTCCTCGACATATGTGTGGCGTTCACAGCTGGTTGTTAACTCAACGTCGTTAAAGGCAACTTGGGCGCAACAAAGCATGAAATTAGATGCGCTAATTTACATAATATAAAAGTGCACTCGTATATTTGCTGCTTTTCTTATTTTACTTTGTTTCTAAGTAGATAGTTGTAGGGACTTTTGATTAGCGCAAATCAATTCCAGGTGAATCCGCGAATCTGTTCATAATTATAATGATTTAGTTCGCGGAACCTGCGGCACGCTTCGAAATTTTTAGTTAATTTCACGGATCTTATATATACACAGGGTGTCCCGTCACTACCATATTATCTCTTAAGGACTGATTCCTGAGGTAATTTGAAGAAAAAAATCCGAATGCAAAAATGTCGAAGCTATAATACTTTTCAAATATAATAAACGATTAAAGTTGACCAATTATATTAGCTAAAGTACGCGCGCTCAGGTACGGTACAACAATAGTACAGGTACAATTGTACAGGTGAATGTACATAAGTGAGAATTTGCATAAGATATGAAATTAGTTGTAAATCTCTGAAAGAAACGTCAAATGTGTGACAGCTCATTGATTCTTATAAATGTATTGTGTGATATTTTATTCATAACATTTTGACGAGATTGTTATTATTTGCGATATGTTTATTTAAATAATAGGAAAGGCAAATTATTGTTACATACGTTGTTGTATGTATGGAACTTCCATATCAATATTTGAAAAAGGGGCGACATGTGCATGCATTTGTATCATTGTTAACCATACACAAAAAAAGAACTAACTTTCAGAGCTAAAAAATAGCTGTGGCAGATAAGATGTGTCACTGAAACAGGGGCAGCTAATGTCGATACTATCGAAGCTAAATTTATTCGCTGTTAAACTTACGCGCTACAGCGAGAAATATTAGCTGCTAGAAATAAATGACTGTAACAAATGATTGTAGCTATACGGCAAACTTTTTTAATATATGCATACGATAAGAAATTTAGGAATAACTGCCATTTTCTTAGCTACTTGAAATAATGTGCATTTTTAATGTCACCTAATATATTAGTATTTCATAGCGAATGCATCTTAGCTGTCATATCCAATTCTTAACAATGACAGCTAAACGATTAGCCTTTTGATTAAGTTTGAATCAGCTATCGCGGTTTAGCTGATATTACCAAATCATTTTTTTGCATGTTTAATTGGTCAACTGTAATCGTTTATAATTTGAATATTATAGCCTCGATATTTTTGCATTAGGATTTTTTTCTTCAAATTACCTCAGGAATTCGCTCTTAAGAGATAATGCGATAGTATCGGGATACTATCGCATTATCTCTTAAGAGACTATCCTAAAACTTTTATTTGAAACATTTTTCCCTAAAATGCACTGTTCAAGAAATATTTGAGGTGATCGATTAAAATAGGATACCCTGTATATATATATATATATATATATATATATATATATATATATATATATATATATACACATACACATTTTTTTATTTAAAATTTTTTTAATTCAAGATATTTATTTGCATTTTGCTCTCACTTATCATGCGCATGTTTTTAACCGCAAGAACCTGTTAAAGCGACAACAACAGAAGAGGGACGGTCGGGAGACGACAACGTACCTTGCGTTTTGATTTCATCGATTCCCTCTGGTTATGAGTGACTTCACCGATAGATCTTGAGCCACATAACTCTCGACCCATCAACGCGTAACATACACACATCACTGTCATAGGAATCAGATACGTTACAGCCAAGAATAGGAGATTGTAACTGTAGAACAAATAATTTATGTGAAACGCCAGAAGTGATGTCCTTATTACGATTTTTTTTATTAAAGCCGTAACTTAAAGACTTTTTTATTAAAGTCGTAACTTATCTCATAAGATCCTGTGTTCGCAGCAAAGACGATTACTCAAGAAGGAGAAGGAGGAATCTGCCCTTGTTAATCGAGGTTCTGTGCGCACGACGTGCGATACAGTAATACGCAATGTTCATACGCAACAAATTGATAATTTTTCATCCTTAATAAAATTGCGCGTTTAAATATATGGAGGTCGAGAATTTATGTGGTGAAAATCTCATTGCCTCATCTAATTGGTCGCGTTAAAAGAAGATTTTTCCTCAAGATAAAAAATATTCAACGCGCGTGCTCGCGGGATTATTGACGTAACCGCTCGGTACGATAATTTCCTCTTTTTTTCATGTGTCAATCAATTAATATTATAAGATGCAACAAGCTCTTTAAACGACGTTTTTCCACATTGTTTTTCCGTTCCACGGAGATATTTTGTCGCGTCGCGTTCTAGGAGAGATTACGCACGATCTCAGCCTTGCCCTTGCAAACAACATCGATTGAAGTTTCAGTCTCGAGTCTCTCGAGAGTACGCAAGAAGTCACGATTGCTGGGTAACTTAAATTGCACATAAGAGGAACATTCTGAGAGATTACTTTGGATTAGATATAGGACTAGAAACAGAATCGTGTGGGAAGTTAAATTACCATTTCGGCCTTATACGGTACATTGTGCATCGCTACTTGCTGAGATATTTTAAGTTATTCTGTTATGCGCTATTAGGTACACCGAAACTGTTACATCCGTTGTTAGGCAAACTTAACTTGGAGACGTGTAGATGGGTGTAGAAATAGCGCTATTCACTACATAAACTCTGACGTTATATGTTGTTCTTCGTAAGAGATGGGTGCATCGCATAAGAGATGGGTGTATCGCTAACGATTTCAAGTTTCCGGGCTACTCGATAAACAAAAGTTTCGCTCCAAGAGATATTTAAAGTTCTGTTTATGTGATGTATATGAGGCGCTCTCAGCAAAATTTTGCGGGGAAATGCTTTTTAATGAATTAAACCAGCTTATCTGTTAAATTCTTGAATCAATAGCCACTACCATTCACAGTTTCCTTTTATATTCAACAACTTAATCCAACAAATTTCATCAATCCCGTGAAAGACACATAATAAAAAATATTAAAGAATTAAGAATTAAGAATTATAATTAAGATTAAAATTAAGATTATAATTAAGATTATAATTAAGATTAATTAAGATAAAAATCTCAGAATACGTTATTAAAGCGTTACACGATAGGAACTTCAAGAATCAACATTACTCGTATAGATAGTGACAACATTATGATCAACAAATATAAAACAAACTCATGTTGCATTGAAAGTCGCGCGACTTTCAGACCAATAATAGGTGTTTTCCATTTAATAACACAAGTTGACACAAGCATCATCCTATCTTAGTTACTTATTGAATATGGAAAAAAAGGCAGAATGATGCTTGTGTCGATTTGTGTTATTAAATGGAAAGCATCCAATATATATAAATAGGTTTGCGACTCAACAGTCTCATTAATAATCTGACGTGGAAATGAACACGTCACGTTGCGTTTTCCCAAATCGGTCAGAACGTCAATGAAATCAATTATATTATTATGTGATATTTCGCGCATGTCATCTTCGTATTGGGGCAATCGTGAGCGACGGTGACAGATCGAGAAATTCAATAGGTGTAACTACCACGCTATACTTTTATTTACGTATTTGTTTTTATTATTATTTACTTTTACGTATTTATTTTTACGTATTTATTTTATTATTTTACGTATTTACTTATTTTTATTGTTATTTATTTTTACGTATTTATTTTTATTTATTTTTATTTTTGTTGTGTTTAGAGAGAGAGAGAAAACGCAATCGAATTTTGTGTTTTCGATATTCTCGCGTCGAACATCTCTCGATTCGTCGAGCTCGAACAACACCTTCATTGCTATTAATTAGGAAAATTATCTTTTCGTTATAGATCCGGTAGATCGAGCGGAACTTGCGACCACAACAGTTATAGTTTCGATGGATACTGATGCAGCACCGGAGGATCCGGTTCAGGCCAAGCAGGGTCGGCTTGAAGGTAAATTTGCAAATCTCCTATGTACATTTCCATTTAGTCCTTTGCGGTCGAGAAGCAGGATATAGTTATGAAAATGATTTGTATTACGGACGCAAGGGATTAATCCGCTCACATCCCTGTACTTGTATTTTGTTCGTTACATCGAACACTTGAATCTAATTGACCAAATTATTCTCGTTTTTGTTTCAGATCTTCTACAGGAGACGTAGCCGGCTCTGACTTCGAAGCAATTCGGTGAGTCACGGAACACAAAAATTTCAGGTGGTGGGATTTTGCAAAATTTCGTTGGAATCAATACGATTTAGTTTGGTGTAGAAACGTAGAGAATATTGCATGTGAGTTTTTATATGTAGATGCATATGTTATTAAACGAAGTGTGCAACTCGAAACGATCGAAGAATCACTTTTTTAAATGCATGTATCACATATTATATAAATATTAAAAAAAATGTGTTTAAAGACCATATTTATTGTTTTTTTTCGACGTTTGAATTTTGGTATAACCATGTTAACTTTATATGATTTTTCGAATGCATTGGATTTTTCAAATGTATTTAATTTCTGGCTGCTCTTAATTTTTGCTCTTTTTTTATATTTTCGCTTCTCGCTTTCATATGTGATTCAAGCTTTGAATTATTCAACAGAGTTGTTTATATGATTTCCTATTAGCATTTCGAGTTGTGAACAATGCGCATCAAAATTGCGCCATTGCGAGTGGAAATCAACGGTTACTTCGCATCCGTTGATTAATTTCGCGATCGCTGCAGCTATTAACGTTCGGAATCTCTCTCATGCATTTATTAAGTACGATTATATCTCGAAAGTGAAGAGGTAAGACTTGTTAAATTGAATTTATCGTCGCGATAAAGGACCGCGAAGCAGCCCGGCGCAATTTCGCACGACGAATGTAACGTTGAATCGAGATTTCGACTTGAACCACGCGAATGTGACAATTCATCGCGCCGCGAGGGTATTTTCGGAGCGCGGGAATATACGATCACAGTAGATATAAAACGTGCAAATTTGCAAGTTTTTATTTCGTCTTCCGTTGATTAAATTCATGGATTCCATATAGCGCGACAAATGATAATTTTTCACCGAAGTTTCGGTGAAATCTATCCGCCGAATACCGTTAAAATGTAAATATTAATCGTGCCGCGAGTGTATTGAAGGGAACGAACAAGCTAGCTGCCCGCTGCAGGCTTCTTGATGTGGAGCAACACAGTTGGTGGTTCATCGTCGATAAATCTTGCTGTATCGGACAACAGCAGAACAGGTCGGACTTGGTCATCAGCGGATTTCAACGATATATGATGAGCGTTGAATTTTGACCATCACAAATAATTCTCACCAAGTGATACACGCCGATTTTATTTATCCTCTGGTGGTTTGATAACCTTTTAGGTTTTTAATAACCTGATACATTTTTTCCTAAAATGTATTGTTTGTAAAATATTTTAGCCTCTCGTTAAAATGGGTGTATAAGCACTGTCATTGATTTTGAACTAATTTCTTTTGCATAAACAATCATCCTTTGGGATGTATCCTTTATATCATGCCACAAGAGATAATCGTCATGTACAATCGATGAGGGTTACTTGTCAGACCAAAATGTAACGTAATGTAATGCATGGTGTGTAGTAAGTAGTAAATCGTATTGATTTCCGACGAAAATATTTGTAAAACTATACACATCCGGACGGATTAACGTCCGTGTCATATTAAAAGCACTTTTTGAAAAGTTATTTTTCGATACAACGCCATGGTGTTCAATCAAAATCGAAGATTATGGAAAAATGTCGATATTATAATTTTACAAAACAAACCGTTTAAAAGGTAGATATATATTTATATCTTATATTTCTTATATTTTATATCTTATATTTCTTATATTTTATATCTTATATTTCTTATATTTTATATCTTATATTTCTTATGATATTTTATATCTTATATTTCTTATTTATATCTTATATTTCTTATGATATTTTTCGATCTTGCTTGATATTTTTTCGCATTTGTTATTATTACCATTGCGACACATACACATGTGTGTGCCAATCGACCTTGTAAGAAAAAACACTTCAGATTTCGTCCCATTATCTAAATTGGTCTCCTCTTGTTTACCCCGTTTGCGCGAAAAGGAAAACCCAAACGCATTTAATATCGACTTTCCGCATTCTGTGTCTAGTTTTTCTTTGCGAGCTTTTCTTTTTCCGCCATGTAATATAATACGCGGTTTCGATCAATTTTGCTTAGATTCTGGAACAATGCGAAACAATGGGTGGCAAGTATTTATCTATAAAAGTGGTTTAACTCTTTTAATTTTGAAACTATTCATTCAATAAAAGAACGGAATTTTTTAATTATCATATCGAGCCGGGCGATTTAAATTGTACGATTTAAATTATTTTATCTCTCATTAGTTATCTTAATCGGAAACCGATTCTATTTTAACAAATGTAAGAAGAACTTGGATACTTTTTCCACAATTTTGTAACAGCTAAAGATCAGCGTACGAAACAAATAAAATTCCGTTAATTTATTAATTTATTTTCCGTTAATTATTGACGTTATATTCAATAAACAAGATATCGTTCTATCTGACGATGACGTTTGAAAAATGTGTTGTTCGATCTTTCACGCCAAAGAACTCTAAAACTCTAAATCGATGTGTTTAACTGCGCGAGCGTTGCTCACAGCCGCGTGTTAATTCGTACACGTCGTCTTTAACGGCTCTTCGGGATCTCTACGTCTTGTTTCGAGCGAGACTGAGTTATGCTGAAGCGGTCAGGACTATGATTAAACTCTTAAATGCAAATGACTCCCAATTGACAATGGTACTCGGTAACAATGGATCAGACGCGACCGCTCTAATTAGGTCGAACTGTTTTCATCATTCCCCGGTGATACGTTAACGGCAGATGTCGCAACAATTTCCTGTTCCTACCTTCTTAGGGCAATCGTCGATTTCATGGATTTGCATTTGTAATGGCTAATCGCGGCCGAGGAGTACACAGTTAGCTTCGAGATTTCTTTCTGCACGCGATTTCACATGCTATATCTTTCGTCGTTAAGTTCGATTTAGACTGTAATTCGCAACGGAATTCTGTTTCTACCGAAAACTCGTGCATAATCGAAATCACGTTCACAGATGTCTGTATCTTTTACGTAGCTCATGTATACGATATACTACTTTCTCGTAGCGTACTTCTCTCTATTATGTGGCGCATAAAATCACAACTAGAACATGTCGTCTCTCTCGAATATTCCGTCGGCTAATTACATTTATAATTATACGTCAATTACATTTAAGTTTACGGAGTCGTCCGTAAAGAGAACTTCAAAGAATATTAGACGCGAGTTCTGAGTCGTCGCGGACTCACATACTTCCGCAACTGTTTCTACAAGCGCGAACTCTGAGTGACTACTGCTCAAAAGAATAATTCTTGGTAGAATGCAGTCCGCTACTTACGTGTATTCTGTTTTGCTATGCAAATAACCGCCGTCGGGCCACAATAAATAACAGGAGACTCTGCTTGTACCGTTGGAATACCTGCAAACGACTGAATTAGTTTCTTCTCTTATTTCTCCTTCTCTTTTTGCTTTTTGCAGTTTACCGACTTGCATAACTCTAATCAAATAACAGATCGCCGCGGGCGTAATGAATATTTTCTAGCGGCAGAGAGAACCGGCCGAGCTTATCGAAACTATTATCGAAATATGCTTCTCGCATATTTAAATATCAATCAATAAAGGCGTTCGTAGGTTTCTTAAGTACGTTATCGTAAAGTGCCTTCAAGAGCGAGGAGAAGAGTCATTCAGCGATTGTAACCGGAGGGTAAAAAGAAAAATAATCCGAGGGTAAAAACTATTCATACAGAACATGAACCGCGCAAAGAATATTCGCGAAAGAGGATTTCGGATTCACTACGAAAGGCACTTGCTAGTATGAATCTTTCACGGAAATCTAATAAAAAGCAAATGCTGTAATACTATTAAAAAGAAAAAAACGTCGATTTTATGCCTGTGCAGTCTCCATGCTGAATTTCTATTCCAAATGCGACGCCGAAGAATCACGATGCCTGTTTCAAATTAGGTTTAAATTCGCACATGCGAGTGTACCTGCACACGCACGGGAAATAAAATTGCTCCTCTCGATTGACATTCGTCGCAGCGTGCAATTTGCGGTTTGATACAATGCATTATTCATTGTATCACAAAACGTGACTTTTTGCTTATCTAAGCCCAAATTATTTATGAAAATGCACAGTCGACTTTTTCTGTTCTGAAGCGCACACAGAAGCGCACAGACGACTTTGGAGAAGTTTAGAATCGTCCTTAAAAGGTAAAATTATGTTTGGGGGCCGGCAAAGCGAATATATAATAGGTAGGAAGATTACTTTAGGATGACATTTTTTCCTATGAAAGCTTTTCTTAGTGAAAATCAAATTTTTGCTTCGGGAAATAAAATGAACACGTTGGCTACAGTTTTTCTTACTTTGTAAGCTATACACTTTCCCACTGTTTTCCTTTATCTTTTATTCTTCCTTTTAATATAGCCTGGAAGCCCCAGTACAAATTGCAAAAATAGACATACGTAGTAAAGCAAAGGGATGAGCAAAGAGAAAAATTTATAGGAAAGGGAAAGGTCACTGCGGTGAGACGATAAGATGCTCGCGATGACGTCACCTAGTTGTCGAACCAGTGGTACATGAAGATAAATATTCCACGAGTAATTTCGCAATATTCCGTGCCAAAAATTTTGTTTTTCTTTACTTGAAGTGGGCGAACATAATTACTACCAGTTTCTATTGAATTCGTAACACCAAATAACGACTGCTTTTTTAATTTCAATTCCAAACTCGTTCACTTTCCCAATAAATACTATTGTTATTTTGATAATGTTCGCTTTGTCGGCTCAGCTCTCACCCAATGATCGTGTCCAATTATAAAGCGAGAGTATGCTGGACTCATCGTGTGTCTATATAATATTTATGTACTGATGATATGGGGTGTACGGGAAATATCCAATGATGAAGCTCGCGCATACACGATAACACATAATCCTGAATATGAAATGACCTGTGAAGATAAGACCCTTGCAGGCCTACAAATACTTTACGAATATTGATAGAAGCGACATTATATACTGGGAAATATGCCACGGACTAAGCCTTTGTAATTGAGTCGACACACAGGAGAAAGGGCCGAAGACAAAAGCTCGGTAAATAACCTGTTGTTAAGTCGTTCTTTCGCGCGTAACAAAAAGCAAAGCTTTTTAGTGTTCCCCGATAAAATGTAAACCTTTCGTAAGCGCGGCTTGTTTACCGATCACCGATGATACTATGCTCTGCGTATTATACATAATCAGGTTGAAAATGTCTGGAACCGAGTTACTGTTTCACCGTGAAGTGGATTTATCGAAGGGATGTAGATCCCACAAGAATGAAGCTCCACAGTATTCCGAGCATTATAAGATTCTGCACAGCGGAGCACTTTCGCGTAAAAGGATCTTTCGAGAAGTAAGAAGTTATTATGATAATTACTGGCAAAACATGATTTTTGCTCTCTCTGTTCTTGCGTCGATAACAGTCTGTTTCCGACTGGCAATTCACAGGTGCTTTCTTTTTATTTGGGAATTACGCAACGCAAGTGATTCCCATGCCGTATGGTGCATACGATGTGTTCTCGCACACGTGACCGGAATTTTCACATTTGCAGCGTGATGTATCTAGCATCTCCGGACGTATTTCAAACGGGAAATGCGTTCTTCGAAGATCCTCCTCCGGCGATCGGTTACAGGAAATAACGTGGCGATGTAAAATGTACGAAAAGCAAAGTACAATGCTATTCATCAATTGCTGTCGGGAGATGCGGGATTTGTTACGCATTCCGCTAGCTTCTATTTTATTCCTCTTCCTTTCGACTTTAACCCTTAAGCACTGACAGGAGTCTGATAGACTCCCAATGAAAAAAAAAATACCTATTACTGTTTTATTCCCACTTAAGCGTGTACACATCGCGTCCGTCTATCTTTTCTTTGACCCGTAAGATACGAAGTGGCGACAAGGAAAGATGTTTCGCACACTTTCTCAGGTAATTATCAAACTTCGAAATATTTTTGTACACGCAAAAAATGATGCGGTTGGCATTACCGAATTTTAGTTGCGACAACCGAAATTTTCGGTTCCTCAGGAATCAACTGAAAAATCGGTTGCTACAAAAAAGAAATTCTATTGGAAAGTTTCTGTTGTGCCAAACATATATTCGATCATCCCAACCGAATTTAAATGTTGTGAAAAATAAATGTGAAGTTTCATTCGTCCCAACCTATACCTTCAGCTCATACTGATGGATGTTCAGCTATTAGGAATAGATTAATATTTAAAAAAATATATTTATATATTCCTAATTTTCTCATGCCTCATAAGCCACTAGGTATCGAAGGTTGTCAACACTCCAAACTTTCGTGAATTCTCCCGCGATAACTTCGATCCCAAGCAGTATATCCCACCGGTTACCCCAACAATCCATGTCCTGACTCCGTTAAAATGTTGCTTAACCTGACGATCGAACGGCACGCGACGATTCCCGATGACTCCAACGATATTCTTATGATTAATGCTTATATAATGTATCCTTATTAGTACAGTATATTATAACATACCTAGCAAACACCAAATAATAGTTATATAATTTTTACTTGATGTTTGTTGGATAATTTGCTGATATTGATAGATATTGGAACAATGCAACAACATTTGATATGCGATGAATATTGATATAATGTAGTGAATCAGTGATAATTACTTTTAAATTTTTAACAGAATATTATAATGATTAATTCAAACAAAAAAAAAATAAAAAATCCAAGAAAATCCAAATTAAACAAATCGAATTATTAAATTTTGAAAGATACTTTCAAAAAATACTATTTAAAACAATAGTGTTGTTTCATCAAATGACATGGTTTCCTTGAACTTTCCCGGGGGCGTGCGTAATGCATTTCCTCTGCCTAAAAAAAAAAAAAAGGTTTCCTTGAACGAAATAAAAGTTTTGCGAAAATATGGCTCATCTAATAATACGGATCCATAGCGGCAACATTCAATTGAATCTTCAATGAATTCAACTTCTTTCAACCGAATCTTTTCGGTTGCGGTAACCTTGATGTCGTTTCTTGTTGCTATGTACCATTCAGTCCGATACTCTCTGTGAGAACAACAGTGAGAACAACAGAATAATCATCTGCGATAACCATTTTTTTGGAACGGAAAATTTTAGTTCCTTTAATCAAAAGCAATCGTTAGTGTGAATAATTCTTCAGTTATTGGAACAGACTTTTCTGTTATTGCAACTGAACCTCGTGTAACAGAAAATTTCTAGCTGTCATTACAAAATATTTTTTTGCGTGTAGATATGTGTCAGTGCTTAAGGGTTAAATATACTGTGAATTCACGGAAAAAAATAATTTACTGCAGCAGCAAACTAATTTGCTACATATGGACAAGGTTGGTAATGTTATTTTATAAAAGTAACTCGTTACAGTTATTTGTTATAAATTTTAAAAAGTAACTCATTATAGTTACCGTTATTTAAAAAGTAACGAATCGTTACTTTTCCGTTACTTTTTTAAATGCTATTAGGTGTACAACTTTGCTTCCGCCGTTTTTTTTTCCGAAATTCGAGGCTTTATTGTAAAAAACTGGTTATACATTTATGATTTAAAGTATTGTCCATCGCTGGCCACTACTTTCTCCCATCTTTCGGGCAGCGTACGAATCCCGCGTCGAAAAAACTGGTCATCTTTTGAGGTGATCCACGAATCGATCCAATTTTTTAGTTCTTCATAAGACCGGGAGTGCTGGTCAGCCAGGCCGTGTGCCATTGATCGAAACAAGTGATAGTCAGAGGGAGTAACGTCTGGAGAATACGGCGGGTGGGGTAGGACTTCTCATTTCAATGTTTCCAAGAATGTCTTGACTACTTTCGCAACATGGGGTCGAGCATTGTCATGCTGCAAAATCACTTTATCGTGTCTCTCGTTGTATTGCGTCCGTTTGTTTTTCAATACTCGGCTCAAACGCATCAATTGCGTTCGATACCGATCGCCTGTGATTGTTTCAGTCGGTTTTAACAGCTCATAATACACTACGCCGAGCTGGTCCCACCAAATACAGAGCATCACCTTGGAGCCGTGAATATTCGGTTTGGCCGTCGACGTGGAAGCATGGCCGGGAACTCCCCATGATTTTCTGCGCTTGGGGTTATCGTAATAAACCCATTTTTCGTCCCCAGTCACAATGCGATGCAGAAATCTCTTCCGTCTTTGCCTTTCAACTACCTGTTTACAAGCAAACAAACGCCGTTCAACATCTCTCGGCTTCAATTCGTACGGCACCCAATTTCCTTGCTTCTGAATCATTCCCATGGCTTTGAGGCGTTTTGAAATGGCTTGTTGAGTCACTCCCAATGATCGTGCCAATTCTTCTTGATTTTGACACGAGCCTTGATCAAGTAATGCCTCCAATTCTGCATCTTCGAAAACCTTCTCTCTTCCACCGCTATGCCGGTCTTCGACGTCAAAATCACCGTTCTTGAAGCGTTGAAACCACTCACGACACGTTCTTTCACTAATAGCGGCCTCACCATAAGTATTTGAGAGCATTCGATGAGCTTCAGCCGCAGATTTCTTCATATTGAAGGAGAAAATTAAAACCTCCCGCAAATGACGAGAATTTGGCTCGTAAACTGACATTTTCAATCGAGAATAACTTTATGATGCAGACACAAATTGACTAATGTTTCTATGGGGTTATGTTGACAGATGCCCAAGTTTATTGTATGACGTCTATGATCTATTTATTTCGACCACCATTTACCGCTAAAACCATTTATAGGAAAACGGTGGAAGCAAAGTTGTACACCTAATAAAATAAGACTAATTGAGTTTAATAAGGCAAAATGGACGAGAAAGGGAGGGAGAGAGAAATTTATGTTGAATATAGATATGAAATAGAATAAATTGAGATATAGATATATCTGATATACAAGATGTGTGTGTGTGTGTGTGTGTGTGTGTGTGTGTGTGTGTGTGTGTGTGTGTGTGTTCCGCCACTACCGCATTATCTCTTACTGACGGATTCCTGAGGTAATTTGAAGAAAAAAATCCTAATGCAAAAATGTCGAGGCTATAATAATTTTCAAATTATAAACGATTAAAGTTGACCAATTATATTTGCTAAAATACGCACGCTCAGGTATGTTACAACAATAGTACAGGTATATACAATAGTATAGGTGCATGCACATAAGTGAGAATTTGCATAAGATATGAAATTAGTTGTAAATCTCTGAAAGAAATGTCAAATGTGTGACAGCTTACTGATTCTCATAAATTGTGTGATATTTTATTCATAACATTTTGACGAGATTGTTATTATTTGCGATATGTTTATTTAAGTGATAGAAAAGGCAGATTATTATTACATATATTGTTGTATGCATAGAACTTCTATATCAATATTTGGAAAAGGGATGACATGTGCATGCACCTATACCACTGTATTGTACCGTACCTGAGCGCGCGTATTTTAGCCAATATAATTGGTCAACTTTAATCGTTTATAATTTGAAAAGTATTATAGCTTCGTCATTTTTGTATTAGGATTTTTTTATTCAAATTACTTCAGGAATCGCCCTTAAGAGATAATGCGGACAGGACACCCTGTATATCTAATATAATCGCTCGTCGCATATCGCGTGTCGCGTCATACATCGCACTAGTCTGTGAGACCATTAGCGAGGATCCAATCAGTACTTTGCTTTAAGAAGAAATAAGAACTCGCTTATGAATATCGCTTATCGCTCGTCTCACTAATCACGTCCAATGTACAAGGCCCAAGACAGGCTTAAGACATAAGCAAAGTGACCAATCACCATAATTGCAATCTGCCAGATTGAGGAATTTAATAGATTTAAAACAAAAAATAACTATTAGAATAACGAATTAATCGTTATCGTTACTGGATAAATGTAACTACCGTTACCGTTACAGTTACCGATCAGAAAAAGTAATGCCGTTACCGTTATAGTTACCGGAAAAAAAGTAACTGTAATGATAACGACGTTACAAGTAACTATTTATTTTCCAACCTTGTGGACAGTTAAATATAATTCGCTGTGTTAGCTATTTTTTCTTTGCTGTAGGAATCTATTTTCTTGCTATAATAACAAGAGAATTTGTTCCTACAGCAAGAAAAATAGTTAACGTAGTAAATTTGTTATAAATGGACAATTAAGCATAATTTACTGTTTTAGCTACTTTTTTTGTTGCACACAGAAAAAAAAGTTTGGTTAAATTAACCAAATATCTGGTCGAATATGAACGATCCAGAAATTCCGATTGAAGTAACCCGAATTCTGTTTAGTTGTCCATGGGCCGATTTATCAATGCTCAGCTAAAAGTGACTGCTACGTAACTGAAAGTTAAGAGATAGCTAAGAGTTATTGTTCTAGTTATCATCTATCTGTTTATCCACTACATTATTGACTGTTAGTTAAATAACTGTGAGTTACTATCGTTTTGACGTAGGTTGGTATTATGTGGGCTGTTTTTTTTAGCTGCACTGTGTGCAACTAAAAAGAATAGACCAATGAATATATGGATTTGTGCGATATATGCGGACTTGAATGATATATATAACCTAACAATAAAATTAAGCAAACACTGTGACAGTAAAACATTAAATATCATAATGTCATAATATAATAAAATATAATATAAATTGATACTTGTCTGACTATATTGCAAGCAGAACTCTTACTAACACCTACAAAATCTCAAAATCAGCTGCTATTAACATTGTGCCTAATGCATAGAATCTCAAAGTTAACAGTAGCTTGTCGATAGGTCTAATAGCATGATTTCTAAAATAAATATTTGTTAGTTGATATTTCAAATTAATAGTAAATACCAAATTGTATATAGATACCTATCCGTGGGATTTTCTATGATATTTTCTATTTGCTCTAGAATCATCAATACTGTTTCTTTCTTCAACCGAAATCTTCGAAAAAAATCCAATTCGTCCCATTTGTCAAAGTGATTGATTCTATTTTGTACTATGCATGGTCTTCTTTCTCATTCCATAAATTCAACGATTTCTTCATCATCGTCAATGAAATCGTTTAAATTCATATCGAGTACAAAATATTTTTATAACATAATGAGTACAAAATATTTCTATACATGATATATTTCTATACATAATGAGTACAAAATATTTCTATTAGCGGTGGACATATGCTCGCATCGTTTAGCGCATCGTATCCACATGAAAGTGAGGTTACGTTACTTACTGAGACTTCTATACAAATTGCTAAAATCTATGGTTACCTGTCAGTTATGTGTTTAGCAGACAAAAATTCTGCCAGTTACTTTAATAACTACTATGACTAACAGTTAATATGTAGCTGTTAGTTATCTCGCATCGATAAACACATAACTTGCAGTTAGCACTTAACTATTAGTCAAATTTAACTTGACTGAGCATTGATAAACCGGTTCCATATGTAGCAAATCATTTTTTTCCGTGTTTCTAAAAATATCAGATTATATGATTATCGAGTGATATACAAGAAACATACGCACACAACGTTCACGTAAGCACATCTCCGGAACGGAGACGCCGCTGACTCTGTCGGGATTAACTAAATTCTCATTTAATGGCGATCTAACTAGCTCACCTGCGCGATGTCGTTGTAGAATACAGAAGGCACGGGGTCGCCAGCGCGGACGAGATGCCCCAAATTAAAATTAGAGTAATTACCGTTCTCTTGCGAGACATACGGTGCTTGAGAGGATGCATAATGGCCATGTACCTGCAACAAATGAAACAACCGTTACTCCCGCGTCAGAATTAAATTCCGTGTAAATCGAGCTGAAATTTACGACGACCGAGAGTTCGCTGTGCTCTGCGCGGCTGCTCGATTTTAAGCCTGCATTAGAATCTCAAATGCTTCCATCTGTCTCTGCCGAACGTTATTTCGGAAAACTTGAGTTAATTTCCGCTGTCGAAGGCTTAAAAATCTAAATAATATTTACCTTCTCCCTTATTTATCGCTTCCCGGAATAATTTTCCCTTTTCAACGGACGCGGAACGTTACTCAACGCATTTCTCGCATTTTCTCTGTCCGTTGTAAATATAGCTTCCATGTAACGGCATATGATTTACATAATAGGCATTTCGTATAATGCAATAATCCAGAGTGCAGTCGTGGGAATCAATTTCGCGCCAGTAAATCGCAGTTGCGTGCAGCGAAAAGGTAAATTATTCTTGCAGATTACAATGCTATTGTCGATTGAGAATATATTTATGTCATATGTGTTAAGTATATTATTATGCTCCATAAGTAATGATTTTGTGAGTAATATTATAATTAAGCAAACACGTGCGCCACGCGATATACTACTGTGTCCAAAAAGTAAGACCAATTTAAAATTTTTTTTTTAAATCTTTATTTATTATTCAAAATCTATTTCGTCGCCCTCAAAGTAATCCTCCTCAGACACAATACACTTATGCCAACGTTTTTTCCAACCCTCGAAACAATTGTTAAAGTCGATTTCCGGAATGGCCTTCAAAGCTTTCTTCGATTCAGCTTGTATCTCTTCAATCGAGTCAAAACGGTGTCCCCGGAGCGGTCTTTTGAGTTTAGGGAATAGCCAGAAGTCACACGGTGCTAAATCAGGTGAATATGGAACGATATGGGTCGAATTTTTAGCAAAATGGTCTCGAAGAACCAATGCAGTGTGAGATGGCGTATTATCGTAGTGCAAAAACCAAGAGTTGTCTTTCCACAATTCCGGCCTCTTTTTGCGAATAGCTTTACGCAAACGACGCATAATTTGACACAGATGTCTGTCACAGTGCTACCAATTTAGAAAAAAAATATTTCTGACATTCGATATACCCGCGCAATTTAATTTGAAAATTGGTCTTACTTTTTGGACACACACTGAGAGAAAAATATATGATATTTGGAACTATAATGGCATAGTAAAAAGATTATAGTTAGGAATATAATTTTTATAGTAAATGTTACCATAATATTTGTAATATTTACAATATTAGTATAGTATAACTGACCCGTGTAAAATTTTTACCAAGAATTATAATTATTTGAAATAAAAAATATAGTAAGGTAGCAAATATTGAATGGTAAGAGAAATTAACTATTTTATATAGTCAATACAATTGGAATATTTGGCAAATATAGGTACATGTAACTATATTCCCAAAAGGTGCTTTACCATATATATAGAGTAATAAGATGGTGACTATAAATCTGTGTTCATTCTATCATATCTTCATGTTTAAATGAACTATAAATATATGTTTGAGGCCAAAACGAACTATAAAATATAGTGAGATTATAGACATTCCAACTGTTTTTTTTTCTCTCAGTGCAGTAGTATAATCCAACAACGCAGCACACATTCGACAAATTCGTAAATATTGTCCCGGACGAGAGACCAAATGCGGACATATACGGGAATTGAAGAGAATTTTTCGAAGATACGTGTGAAGCGAGCGTCAGAATAATAGTCCGCGCGCGCCAGGGGAAATAAAATCTTATTTAGAATTGTCTCACGTTTCCAAGGTGTGAGCGAGAAGCGGTAGTAATAGCGACGTAATGTGATATTAAAGCTAATTGGAATTGTTATGCAAGTAGCGTGATACAATATCACAGTACGTCCACACATTATTGTATGCATTCCGCAAACATTTGTCGAATTACAAACATAATTCCTTGCCCCAACATTAGCTTTATTATTCTCGTAATTCGTCACGAGCACACGCAGCGAGAACAGTTTATTGCGAAATAGCACGTAATAATTGTTAGATCTTTATCGCAGAAGACTCTTAAGCTCGACACAGATCGTTATATGCTTATCGCGGTGATTGAGTAATCTAAGTACAACAAATGAAACATTGCGAGTCTCTGGAAGACTATTGATTTCGTTTAACGTGAATGATATGACGAAAAAATTGCGAAGCACATAACATTCCACTATAAATTCAAGTGTATTACTTTTAGACGCGTAAGCGTGTAATTTGGTTGAAGCTCCTTTTGTACGCAGTTTTGAAACACATTATTTAGCGCGTTTAAGACATGTAAATTATGATTTAATACGTTGAAACACGTATTAAATGACGTGACTTGAAATGATGAGAAACTTGTAAGAAGAGATTCAATTAAAATGACACAATTGGATTTGTAGTGTGAGAAAAGGCTCGATTTATTTCTTGTAGTTTTACGTTAAGGTTTTGCTCCATTGCCATTTGGTAAAAGGCACTTAATGTCAGCGCTCGGACAGATTTTTAACAAGACTTAATTTATCAGTTAACCGAATTAGCTAAACGGAGGAAAACAGAAAGAAACGCCCGAACAGCGAATCGTTAAGGTGGCCCGAGAAATTAATTACTTGTTTTATGGCGGCTTCATTCTGCTCGTCGTCAATATAATTTCAGCGTGACAATAAGCATCCTACGTTTGAAACACGGAGCCCGGTTATTTGTCGAGGGATAAATCGCACGGCGAGTTTTCTGTTGCGAAATTAAGCTCGATGATTACTCTCGCACTCTACGTCTTTCGCGAGTCGAGGCGAGATGGTTAGGGGCTATATAGGAATTTAATTTAATTATTTGATAGAAATAAAATTTCTCGAATAAACAAAGAGTCTTCGCGCGACGTGGGTTTTCGTGCAAATATGAGTGCAATCGTCGCGGAAACGAGATTACTCGCTGGATCAATTTATGGGAAAATTTTACCATTACAATGCAAATAACGTAAACGCGCGCGCATGTGACAGCATTGCAAATCTAAGTGTGCTAATTTTGCATGCATAAGTCTATGACTTGGCTGAAGCCCTTTTTACACGTTTTTTGCGAACTGCAAAAGATTCTATGTTAAATTTAGCGCACTTCGCGTGTCCCAATTTATCAACTCTAATCTCTATGTTAATTTGATATAAGGCAAATATGTTAATGAAATATATTGTTTTATGGTCAATATTACTACAAAATTATATAATAATTTACATAGTAAAATAATTTACGTAAATAATTTATATAGTAATTTACATAGTAATTTACATAGTAAAACAATTTCAATAACCAAATATCAACATATTTACATAGTATAACAATTTTGATAACAAAAATTTGAATTAAACGCTTCAAATTGACCGCCATTTTAATACCGCCATGTTTGTTTGAAAAAAATACTCATGGCATATTTTTTTAAGTTAAAGTATCGGAAACACGTTTTAGACACTTTTCCAAGCGATATTAACACGTTTTTATGGAGAAAATAGCATAAGAAGAAAAATTAGTCCTAAAAAAAATGCGTTTTTTTATTTTATTTTGAAAAAATTTTGCATAAATTGCGATTTTTTTTCTCAACGCTACTCGATAGAGCGACATCGAAATTGGTAGGAATGGTACTCTTTATAAACAACAGACCTCATTTTCATAATAAAATAAATGGCTCAAATCAACGTAAAATTTAAGCGCATTTGGGCGTTAATGGATTAATATATTCAAACGTTTTAAATGACGCGACTTGAAACGGCTTAAGAAACATGCATGAGAAGAGGTTCAGCCAAAATATAACTGGATTTGCAGTGAGCGTGTGTGTGAGTGCATTTGAAAGCAGGGTAGATTATACGCCCACCGGTTGCACGGCTCGATTAGTTTCCGCATTGCACTTATCAATCATCGCGCACACTAATAACTAGAGCTTGTTGTCCTTCGCGCACGGATCGCTCTCAGAGTGCCGCCTCATCGTTTAATGACACGAAGTTAAACAGTCGAGCGAGCGATAATGAAATCTCACATTTCGCATCATACAGGACTCCATTTACCGCCATTTGCTTCATTCGTATCGCGATGATTCGCGTTAGTTAACGAGGTGAATTTAATGTGTGTCATGCGGTTGTTTCCTTAACTCGTAAATAATAAGATTCTAATATTTGGCTCGCAATATATCAGTAAAACACTCTGCCGTTTATTGTGAACGGTATCATTGGAACTGCCGTTCAGAGTAAAATCGTTGGAGCATACCATATTACCGGCACATTGTTACCGAGTTTCAACGCCGCATCAAAATTCGAACAGTGCAGTTAATTAACGTCGCTAACCTGTTCCATTAAGACGTCAAGGTGATACAAACAAGTTAGAAAAGACGCGTTAATTAATTTGTTAATAAATTAATTAGCCGTGCGTTGTTTATTTTCGCGGGAATTTAATCACCGCGATGATAGAACTTGTATATAGATAATACGAATAATACGAATAATACTCATTATCGGATCAAAAAGGCACGATAATTGGAATTAAACTCAATCTCTGCGTTAATCAAGTAGTATTCAAAATTAATTAATCATAATTACTTCTTAATTAGGATTATCCCAGCTACTCCTGAATCTCGCTCTAAATTCTTTAATTAAGGACAACAAAGCGAATAGCAGAGTCACTTTGATAAACGTGCATCCCTCCTGCTCATCTTTTTCTGACATAAAAATCGCGGCGCCTGTCACGTCGTTATTGTACGCCGGGACAATAGCTGACATGGAAATGGTTGCATTGTTAGCCGCGAGAGGTTTCGCAGGCACGTGCGGAACACAGAACTACCGTCGCGATTTCAGAAACGACATCGAAGCCCGAAATTTCGCGCCGCGAAACCTCATAGCGTCCCGCACGTGGTAAGAATTACCACTTGGCGAAACAAGTTCGCCAATGGCCTTATAAACCGGCGAGATGTCCACGAGAATTGTATTGAGTCATTCGTCGCGGTGAGTTGACATGCAAAACATG